CAGATTGTTTATCCTGCCTATCTTATCTAAATAGACCTGCAGAGACAATAATATGCACAGAAAACAAGACATAGCAAAACAAAGCAACAAAAGAAAAGAAAACAACAACAACATAAGGCCAATGACTTAAAAAGAAAACCCTACATAGTTCAAGGTCTGTTTGTTTACCTTTAGGAGTGTTTTATAGTCAAGTCTGATGGGGTGCCACACCCTGGCCCCAAAGGCTATTTTTGGTATTCCCTGGGGACTTCGTTGCTCTGTTCCCTTGCTGTTCAGTTGCATGCCCTTAGTGTTTTGCCTTGATGAGGTGGGGTCAGATCAGGTGCAATTCCTACACTGGGATATGGGTCAGTGAGGAATGTCAAATCTTGTAGTGGGGCCAGCCATTTGGTCCTCTCTGTGCATTGGCTGCTCTGAGCAGGGATATCGTCCTCAAGGCTTGGTGGGCCAGGATGTGCTCCACTCTCTCTTCCTCCCCCTTCATTTGCTCCCGTGTGCTCTGATCAGACATATCCCTCTCACTGAGCTGAAACTTTAGTGCTGTCCTCTGAAGTAAATTCTTCTGGGGGAGGTGCAGTATTCTTTTACATGATCAGTATTATCTGTGGGACATTATTCTGGTTGAGTCATCGTTTGGAGACATGAACATTCTATGATTAAATAAGTGTGAGCAATATGGACTTAAACCATGCAAAACAAGGTGGTCGTTGTAGGTAACAGGTGAATATGCAGTCAAGGTTTTCTAAGATGAGAGATGCTCACAGTGTTTTTCAAACATGGACACCCTCAATGCTTTTCTTCCTTGTTGTGTCTTATGAAACATTTTATGCTGTTGAACCTACATTGGAAAATGTTGTAAAACTGATTCTGCATACCAAATATATTATCCTCTACTGGCTGATATATTCTAGGCATTTCTGATTTGTGTGTGCTCTTTGAGAAAACAGTGCAGTGATAATTTTTCCATACATTAACTCATTTATCATTACCAAAATCCATATGACTTGTATTATTATCTTTGCTTCCACATAAGGAGAACT